ACATTTGATCTCACCATGTCAGCAATGCTGCAGCACTGCACTCATATAAGTCATGCACTTATTCATAGTCTGACAAGTGATTTTTGCCCTTGCCTTCATGCCTGCACCCCCACCTGGGTCCAGATTCACTGCCCCTAGGTATGCCTTTGCTGTAAGCCCAGCTAAACTGCACAGGAAAAGTTACAGGTAGGTAGCTGTGTTGGTCTGCCGTAGTCAGAACAAAATAATTAAAAAAAAATTCCAGTGGCATCTTAGAGACCAACTAAGTTTGCTACTGGTATGAGCTTTCGTGTGCATGCACACTTCTTCAGATACAGGAAAAGCAAGCTAGTCTAAAGCTTGCAACCTGTGACCTTGTAATCCCAAGCTTTCAACAGATCAATTGTGTGGGTGGGCAGGAAAAGATGAATGAGAGTCAAGACTGGGGTTGTTTTAGTCAGTTATCACAATGTTTTATTATAGAAATCTACAAAAAAAGAAGAACCATACATTTTCTTGCTATGAACAGACTTTGCTACAATTGCTTTGCAGCTGAAGAATGCTGTCTTTGTTTTATTTTTATTCATTTCTATCAAAAGCAGGGGCTGACACAGCCTCTTATGTTTCACCACCAAAGTGATACCATAAGGAATAAGTGGCCTCGTACAATCAGAAGAGAGTCAAGTGGTTTGGGCATACGTTGAATATTGAATCCCCAAGCCCATTTATCGACACAATTCATAATGCATCAGTAAGTTCACCTTCCGTGCAACCCACAGCGAACTGATGAATGCTCAATAGTGAAAATAAAACCAGAAATAGAAAACGGCTTTCTTGGAATAATGGAACACAATGAACTAGATTAGGTTTTGGTTCTACATACATATTTCGCACACATAATCTTGCCCCCGACTCTCCCTCGCAAGATGAACACCATCAAATCTCTCAATGAGAACTTGATGGTGAATTAGCAAGCTCCCATTGGTTAGAAGCCATTGGTGTAGTGAAAAAGACGGTGATCTTATTGGTCCACTCCCTAAAGAACCCCAGAACTATAATGTCACATAGGTGTCATTCCAATTAATGCCTGAAGAGTTAGTGGGGTGGTGGTCAAGAGATAGAAGAAAATGATATTTAGGACTCTCCGAAGGTCCACCATCTTCTTCAGGTTAGCATTCATTCATTTATTTATTTTTAAATGTAATTGTCCTGTCCCTGAATATTCTTCTTTAGACAGCTGAAGGTGTCTAGCGCCTTCTTAGCTGTGAGCTGGAAGATATCAGAATATGGCAATATGAGATGATTTGGCACATTGACATACATTTATAGACAGTCGGAACCTACACAAGAGCTGTAGGCCAAGTAGTTTTGGAAGAAAGAAGAAACAAAATCCAAAACCATCTCCAACCCAACCTGTTTGACAGGTGGAATATGAAGTGAAACTTCTTTGAACATCAAAAAAAGTTTTAGTTAAATGCACACTGCATACAATGGTGTGCATGTCTTTGCTTACTAGTTAGCTCAAGAAAGAAAGAAAAATGGGAGCAGCCGAGCAGCCAAAGAAATGGACTTCCTTGTGGTTCTTCTGGCCTGTGTGAGATGCTGGACATGCCCATTCATCTCGTACCTGATTGCCAGCTGTCCTAAGGCTACTGCACCCACCTGGCCATTCAGCCAAACATATTTGATTCCAATGTGCTTTTCTGAACATAAAAGTGTTCAAGAAATCTTCAGCTTTGACTGCCCAAGCTCCATGGACAGTGGAGTTCTCTTTGGCCAGTAGAGTTCTCAGGATATAGTGGACTGAGCTCTTTAATCTGAACAGGAAATGAATTTTTACCTTACCTCCCTGCCCTGCCCACAAAACCCTCACTGTCACCCCCAGTTACAGTATCCCCTTCCTTAGTCAGGTCTTGCATTCAAGTTCTTCAGACCTTCAGCCACCCTTCATGCCCCCAATCCCATAAATCATATTGCTATAGTTGTCACTTTGAGTCTTTGCAGTTTCCGCAATGAGTGTGGTCCCTGGAACACATTTTCCCCCTTTGCTGGTTGCATCATGTATAGATGTGCCTTTTCTCTGCCCTCGTAGCTGAAGCATCTTTTCTGGCATGTTAGCAGAGTTGGCATTTTCTTCCAGATGTCGATCTTTCTGAGATGCACTTTCATAGGTGCCAGCTGCTTGCCAACATGGGAGTGATGACTCAAGCAATCAAGGAGCTGACTCTTTCTATCTTCAGAAGGACAACAACTTCCTACAAGAAAGGGATGTGAAGGTTAGATGGTGAATTAGGAAAATGGAGAGAAGATCTACAGGGGTTTGGGCTGTCAGAGGAAGTAGACCTTGAAATACCAGCTGCTGGGAATGGCAGGTGGTTGAGGAGCTGCTGCACTCAGGTTCTACTTGTGAACTTCCTATGGGCATCTCTTTGGCCACTATGGAAACAGAGTACTGAACAATCGCCAAACAAAGGGGGGATTTGCAACGTCATAGTTGCAAAGCAGCTTTTCAGAACACAGGAAACTAAGTGTATCCTTTGAGTAGGAAGGACTCATTAGGGATTAATAGGTACAATGGGCATTCAGAAGTTGGCGTCTGCTGGGGTTGGACTAGAATTAAGCCATGATTGCAGACAGCTATTTACCTTCTCCAAGTGATCTCCGAACAGGAGCTGCAGGAGCTTTTCGGAATCTGACGTCCATCCAGCCCGACTGCATGATTGGACTTTCTGAGCCGCCCTTCTGCCTCCATCTCTGCTCCACATGCAATTCAAGAGTGCTTCGCTCCCAACCGCTTTTGAATGAGTCACTGAAAAAAAACAACACAGAAAGCGGAACATGAGCTGTGAGCCAGATCAGCTTCAGCAACACAATGTACCTTTGCATTAGCTATTGTTCCCCTTCTCTCTGTGAGCTCCAGCAACAATTCTTTGTCTGAATGAGCATCACTCTGACAGCAGACTGTCCATAGCTGGGCATACACTTATGCATGGCAGCTGGAGATCTGCCTGTTCTCTAGGAATGAATGCTCCCTATTTTGCTTTTGGCTCTTTCAGAAATGGGAAGAACTGACTCTTTTTGCTTTCTGCAAACCACTCAAATGATCCTGGGGAAGGGTGCGGGAGGAATCATACTTGGAAGCTGATAGAGTGCTAAAAGATAGGGTGCTAAAAAGCCTTCCCCTATCCAGAACATGAAAGGCAGAGTGATAAGTCAGCTCTCAAGTATACAGAGAGGGAAATTAGGTTAGGCAACTGCTGGGGTTTCTTCTAACTCTGTCTTGTAAAACAGGGGCATCCAACAAGGTGCCCTCCAGATGTTATTGGACTACAACTCCCATCAACCCCATCAAGTCCAGCAACATCTAGAGGGCACCATGTTGACTACTCCTGCTGATGGTGGGAGAGAGATTTCACTAACCCAAGTCCATACAGCCTCTCTAAAGATATTTGCTTTCTCCTAGCAACATCAGTCCTAGATTTAAGCATCTCTTCTGCAAATTAACATGGACCACAGTTCATAAGTCCCGTTTGGAAATGGCATCTTTCCACTTCCCTAATTATCCCTACCCACCCATATCTGACTTTGATACAGCTGAACTTTGTTTCTCCAAGTTTGAAGGCTATATTTGTCAACCCTACTGGCATAAAGTCAATGAGCCGGGAAGATTTGTATCTTACCTGTAGCCTGTGGGAAGAAGTCGCACCCTGAAGGCTCTCAACGGTTGGGGTGATATCTTGCTCTTCACTGCTTCTCTTGCATCAGTGGAGCCAGGAGCAGGTCTCCGTGCGAGTTCTGCCTTCTTCTAGTCTTATGGACTAGCAAGCCATTCTAAAAGGCTACAGCTGGTTCCTTCCTTCAGTTCTACGACTGCAGAGGGCGCAGACTTTCTGTAGCAGAGACTTCATGCTTCATGTTTCGTTTTTTTCCTCTCTCCAACTACCAAAGTTTCTCAAAGTTGCCTGTCTTTTGCTTCTCAGCATTGGGGAAAGCCGTTTAACTTTCTTTATTTAAAAAAAAAAAATTCTCAAAGGTGTTCAATGGATGTGCCATCTCTATCTTCTTGGTATAGAGATTAAGGTGGCATGACTTCTTAATTCAAGTTGTGTTTGTATGCAACTATTTTTTTAAAAAAAAATAGTCTAGGAAACTAACCCCTCTACAACTTTAGAGTGCTTAATGTTTTTTCTGTTTAGGATCTTGATGTGAGAAGTAGGCGCCCCACCCTCGCAAAGCCCTATCTTCCCAAAATCTAGAATGTAGAGGAGCAAAGCATCAGGCTCATGGCCACTCTGGAATGTGTGGCTGATGATCCTTCTGGAGCTGAAAGACCTGAATGCCCAAGTCAAAGCCAAAGAGAATCCAGAGGTCCACTTGGAGATGGAAACATGAGAGTTGGGTGAGAGCAGGGGATGGGTTAATTTGATGGCTGGAACTCCTGCTGAAGTCCTTCAGGACCTCCCCAAACTTGCTAAAAGTTCCCTTCCCCAATCTGTTTGGAGCTCAGCTGAAAAGTTGGAAGAAGCAGGAGAAAGAGGGGGAAACCAATAGCTTTCAAGAGAGTTAGTGAAAGTCCACTGATGGTTCCCAGAAGCGGGGAGGAGAATGTCTGGAAGGAAAAGCACCTTGAAGGAAAGGACTGATGTGAGCAAGAAGGAAATCCTTCTGTCATGCCCGATGAAATTCCCTGGGAAGCTGTGCCCCAGGAGGTGTGGCTGCCTCTGCCACGACGAAGAGGCTGGTTTGTCTTTCTGACATAGTCCAGTCCTTGCAATGGCTTTTTAAAAAGAAATCCTCAAAAGAGCCATCCATTATCCAGCTTGAACCATCTTGAGTGATTCAGGCTAGCCACGCTCTCAGCATGGTTGATCTTGAAGAAAATTAGATTTTCCTCCTACCGGTCATTAGGCTGAGTGTATCTTCAGACCCACCATGGCTGAAGTTCTCAGATGAAAGGAAACTGCCTTCCTAAATAATCCACCAACCCCCTTCTTTGTCATACCTGTTTCACACTACTCTGCTCATATCACTGTGGTAGGGACGGAAACCTCGGGTTGAGTTCCGTCACTAGCGATTGGGCTGGCAGTGGTGGAGGGAGGGAGGCTTTCCAATGAGTCCCTTAACTCAGGGGTCCTCTGGGGACTGGGCTCCTCAGAGTTGTCAAAGTTGACCTCAACTTCCTTGCCCCTCTGAATCAGCTGTTCTAAAGTTTTGGGGTAAGGGTGGCTGAGGAAGCGTTTGAGTTTGGGCTGGAGGGTCCCTACCACATACTGGATGACCTCCTCCTCCTCAGCATCAACGTAGAGGGTCTGGTACAGGTCCCTTTTGCGCCAGAGGAACTGATCTAGAGGTTCTCCATCCTTCTGAGGGAGATCCAGCTCTCTCTTAATGGCATCCCTGGTCAGGGTGCCCTCGCTATACTGAAGGAACTCCTTCTTGAACTCCAGCCAGTTCTTGACGGAGTCCTGCTTGTACTCCCACCACTTTTTGGCTGGCCCGTTCATGTGGTTCTCAATCTGAGAGAGCCAGTACTCCTCAGTGCCACCCACCTGCTTCAAATAGTCCTCCAAGTGAGTCAGGAACTCCCTGGGGTCCTCAAAAATCTGGGTCTCCACTGGGGAAGGTGGAGTATCTTCTGAGACAGAGACCCACTGGTAGGAATCATGGGACTGAGGCACGATAGGGACATCCCCAGTAGGAGGAGGTGTCAGGGCATACATCTGGCTCATGTCTAGGGCATAATCATAAATCTCCCCTTCACTGGGCCTGATCTCTGGGCCTCCCACCCCTACCGAGACAGTCTGCCTGTGGTTGTCTCCATGGCAGTACTTTGCCCCACCAGACTCGAGCCGGTCAGCCCACTTCTCCAGGCGGAAGAACACTTCCTTCCAGACATTCATCTCTCTCTTGACCCACCTCTCCAAGTGAGCAATGGTCTCCTGGCATCTAGACAGGCAGGCCTTGATGGACTTCTTCCACCTCTGGTTCTCAGCAGCTGAGGGGACATGATCCTCAAGGTTGTTCTCAAGTTTCCCCACCGACTTCTGCAGGCCTTTCAGCTCCCGCTCCACCTGCTTTGACACCTCGGTCAGGAGGTGCCGGTGGGTCCTCCTGACGTGGTCTAGCATCTCCGCCCTGCACTTCCCTATCTGGAGGATCACATTGGGCTTGTTGTTATTGGCCACGCCGCGGTGGCCCTGGAAAGAGTGGAGGTTCACCTGGTTGATGTTGTCCAACTGCATGTTTCCTAGCTGTGGGCTAATCAAGCTTTCGCCCCCTTGACAGACTCTCTCCAAAAGTCGCAACCACCCAGTCCAGAAATGGACTACCCGTTTCCCCTGCAAATTACAAACACAACCAAATCAAGAAAATCACCCTGGGAAGTCTTGCCTTCCAACTGCCCTTGTGCTACAGCCAAAGTCCAGGACAATAAAAAGTTCTCTTCAGTGTCTGGTCCTTCCTCTGTCTCCCAGGAGTCCTTAATCCCCGAGCTGAGCTGTCGAAAACTTCCCCAGCAAGTGGTAATGCTCTCCGCTGTTGCCTGTGTCGTTCCTGCTGCTGCTTCCTTGCTTTCGAGTCTTCCTTGAACTTCACGCTAACAAGTGTCTGAATCTCTCTCTCCTCTGCTTAGCTGGAAAACAGAGAGCTATTTGCTTTCTCTCTGTGATGTGCCACTAGCTCAGACGGATCCCTATACTTATACACCACACACCTCCCTATGTGGGTGTAGCCAAGCCTCTGTGCTCATCGGCATCTTGCTGCTGATTGGAGGAGAAAGATTCAGTGGAAAACACAGCTCCTGGCAAGCATCTCTCTCCCTCGCCCTCCCCGGCTCCCTTTAGCTTCTCCCACCCCCTTCCACACACCCCCAGACTTGAGGCGAGAAGCACTTTAAAGGTTCTGGAGACAGTTGGATGGATGGATGAGTAATTCCTACCTTTTCTCCTCACCCCTTTCAGCTCCCCCTTTCTCCCCCTCTCCACTCCCCCCCAAAAGAAAAGGTCTTACTCATCTCCCGACCCTTTATCCATAAAGGCCCTTTTTGCAAAAGTCCTCAGACCCCGAAAGACCCCGTGGCACAAGGGAGATGGCTTAAAAGCTCCCTGTGTCACCCACCCTCCGCTGGCCAGCTGTGAGTTGCTCACCCACCTGCCCCCACACATGACACACTCACCCACACCTGTGCAAACCCTCATTATTAGAGGCTAAGGAGTCAAGGGCTGGGCTAAGTGGAAAGGGACACTGGTTTTATTTTCCAAACAGGAGGTGGGAATTTTGCCTCTAGCCGTTTTCTGTTATGCAATCATAACCATATATTGGGGGGGGGGTTGGAAGGGGGGAGAGCTGTCAATATGCTGCAGGTTAAAACGGTGGGGGGAGGGGGAGTCCTACCCTTCCAGGGTTTCCAGCCAATTAAGTCCACCCATCTCAAAGCTTTCCAGTTACTAAGCTTGAATCAGTTGCTTAATCACACGGTGCAGCCCACAGACGCAGATGAAGCTCACACTCGTTGATGAAGCAGGAAGCCGAACCATAAAAGGACACCGGGGGTTTATATAACCAGGAGATAAAGAGATTCCCTTTCTGGAAAAGGAGATTGAGGCAGTGTGTGTGCTTCCCCTCCGGAACTCCAGCCTGTCATTCAGATGCAGGACTGGGATGACAGGGTGATGATGATACCTTTTTAGGATTGGGGGGCTGCTCCCTGGAACTTACTAAGCAAGGTTGGAGGGTTATGTAACTTGGTGAGTACTTACCAGGACACCCCCTCCCTCCTTCCCACTCCCCAAAATGCACGATTTGCTTAGCCTCTGTTCTGGGTGGAATCAGTCGATCAAAAATAACCACACGGCTGAATTCGCATTGGGTCTTTCAGGTGCCCCTGGAGGAACACAGAGTCTCTTTTATCTAGGGTGGTCTGGTTGTGGGGTGACAGGTGGCCTAGGTTTGCGAGGGAACTGAACCCCGGCAATTTCTGCTTTGCGAATTTTCGATACAGGTTGTGCCCTTTGCGAGAGACTCTTAGGCATGCAACAACTGATTTGGAGAAGGGGTGCTGGAGTGAAGGATTATTCTGTAGAGTTTAACTGAATTCCAGGTCCCTCTCTCTGTGTTTTTGTTTTGTAGGGGTCTCTGAAAATGTGATTTTTGTTCCCTGGGGCTTTTGAGAGGGAGGTGGACTATGTGGTGGGTCAGAGGTGGGTTCCTATGCCAGGAATTGAACCTGCGACATTCTGAATGCCAAGCAGGTGCTCTTCAACTGAGTTAAAGCCCTTCCCCAAATACACAGTTCGCATGTGAAGAGAGCAATGAATTAACATCGGAGGGAGAGAAGACAGGGAGAGACATCACATCCCACACCGGCTGCAAACCCACATCTGCAGAAGGAAACCCTGTCAAAGGTGTATAGACTGCCCCTATAATCTGGAACCCTGACTGGACAGATTTTTAGCTTATGCGGGAATCTTTCATACATTCAGCATGCTTTCCTTCTGCTGAAGATATGTTCCTAATTTCTCATAGACATCCTAGGACCAGACTTGGAGCAAATGGTCCCATTCTATCTCCACGTGCTGCTAATTTTGTGGAAGGAAGAACACCCAACACAGCTTAGGAGCTCAGTTATGAATTTTGCATTTCTGCCATTACTTTTGTTGTTGTTTAGTCGTGTCCTCCTCTTCGTGACCCCATGGACCAGAGCATGGCAGGCACTCCTGTCTTCCGCTGCCTCCCGCAGTTTGGTCAAACTCATGCTGGTAGCTTCGAGAACACTTTCCAACCATCTCGTCCTCTGTCGTCCCCTTCTCCTTGTGCCCTCCATCTATCCCAACACCAGGGTCTTTTCCAGGGAGTCTTCTCTTCTCCTGAGGTGGCCAAAGTCTTGGATCCTCAGCTTCAGGATCTGTCCTTCCAGGGAGCACTCAGGGCTGATTTCCTTCAGAATGGATAGGTTTGATCTTCTTGCAGTCCATGGCACTCTCAAGAGTCCCAGGAACGTTAGCTGACTTGGCTAAACCCCTTCATGTTACAGAATTGAGACTCCTTAAAGGGGCAGCAAAATAGATCAGATGAACACACCTAGCGAAATGGATCAATTCACCCAGGTTTAAAAAGCCATAGGCATTTATTCTAGATGTGTATCTCAGTGGTTTCTGGACAGATCACTCTGCAGGCAGCAATGCTTCTGAATACAAGTTGTTAGAAACCACCAGAGGGAGAGAGGGGTCTTGCGCTTGAATCCTGATTTGGGGCACCTGGTTGTTCACTGTGAGAACAGGATGTTGGACTAGATGGGCCATTGGCCTGATCCAGCAGGCGCTTAGAATCATAGAATTGTAGAGGGATCCCAATGGTCATCCAGTCTAATCCCCTTCAATGCAGGAATCTCAGTTAAAGCATCCATGATGGATGACTATCCAGGACAGCTCCACCTGGTAAGCAGGCTGAGACCCTACCTGCCCACGGACTGCCTTGCCAGAGTGGTGCATGCTCTGGTTATTTCCCACTTGCATTACTGCAATGCACTCTACGTGGGGCTACCTTTGAAGGTGACCCAGAAACTACAACTGATCCAGAATGCGGCAGCTAGACTGGTGACTGGGGGCGGCCGCCGAGACCACATAACACTGGTTCTGAAAGACCTACATTGGCACCCGGTACGTTTCCAAGCACAATTCAAAGTGTTGGTGCTGACCTTTAAAGCCCTAAACAGCCTCTGAAGGAGCCTCCCCACCCCCATCGTTCTGCCTGGACGCTGATGTCCAGCGCTGAGGGGTTTCTGGCAGTTCCCTCATTGTGAGAAGCTAAGCTACAGGGAACTAGGCAGAGGGCCTTCTCGGTGGTGGCACCCGCCCTATGGAACGCCCTCCCACCAGATGTCAAAGAGATAAAAAACTACCTGACAGGAACAGCTGGTAGGCGGCAAAAGAGGGAGATCCCCGGCCGCACCTGCGTTAAATAGAGCAGGCCACACCCCCCAGAGCCAGCCGATTGGCTGGCCAGGGGGTGACACGGCTGGGGATTCCCTCAATCTCACGGAGGCTGAGCTCCAGCTACCACGCGCTTGGTGGGGTCCTGACGCCCGCAACACCACCTCCTCTGCAGGGCGGAAGTGGCTATGTCACATGACAGAAGGAGCAGGCTTGTTTTCTGCTGCTCCCCGAGGGTAAGCCCAGAACCAATGGATTCATATTACAAGAAAGGAGATTCCAACTATATATATTAGGAAGAACTTTCTGACAGTAAAAGCTGTTCAACAGTGGACTCCCTCAAGAGGTTGTGGGTTCTCCTCCATTGGAGGTTTTTAAAGAGAGGTCCGATGACCACCTGTTAGGGATAATTTAGGAATCCTAAACTCTTTCACTTTTGCCCATCCTCCTTCCTCTACCAGTTTTGGCGCCATTCCAACCCATTCTCTCGCATGCTGCTTTTGTCTCTCAAAGGGCGAGAGACGGCAAATGGAAGAGGGCTTTCCTTTTGGGTTTCCTGGGGAATATCTGGCTGATACCATGGCAACTGTTCCTCCAGCGCTTCTAATAAAAGGAAGGTGAGGGAGACAGAAATGGAGATGGATGGAGGAGCCGGAAGTACCAGGAAGGGAAGACAGAGAAAAGCTGGAGGAAAATAGACGGGTTGCAGAGAGTGTGGAAAGAGAAGTGGGGCAGGCAGATGGAAGCTGGCTCAGAAAAACTGAAAACAGTACAACGGGAGCAATTAAAAATGATTTATTTTATTTATTGCATTCAACACCCCCCCACACACACCTTCTCCTCCAAGGAGTTTAAGGTGGTTTACATGGGTCTCCCCATCATCCTTTCATCTCCACAACAGCCCTGTGAGGTAGGTGAGACTGAGGGATGCAGTGACTGGCCCAAGGTCACCCAATGAGTAAGAACTTGAACTCTGGTCCAGTGGTGTAGTGTGGGGCGGTTGCCCCCAGTGCAAAATTGTGGCCTTTAAAGGGGAAACCTCAGCAATTTGCAATTTCCAAATTTATTTACTTATTTATTTATTTATTACTTATACCCTGCCCATCTGGCTGGGTTTCCCCAGCCACTCTGGGCGGCTTCCAACAAGAGATTAAAAATACATTAAAACATCAGTCATTAAAAACTTCCCTAAACAGGGCTGCCTTCAGATGTCTTCTAAATATCAGATAGTTGTTTATTTCTTTGACATCTGATGGGAGGGCTTTCCACAGGGCGGGTGCCACTACAGAGAAGGCCCTCTGCCTGGTTCCCTGTAACCTCACTTCTCGCAGGGAGGGAACCGCCAGAAGGCCCTCAGTGCTGGACATCAGTGTCTGGGCTGAACGATGGGGGCGGAGATGCTCCTTCAGGGATACTAGACCGAGGCTGTTTAGGGCTTTAAAGGTCAGCACCAACACTTTGAATTGTGCTCGGAAACGTCCTGGGAGCCAGTGTAGGTCTTTCAAGACCGGTGTTATGTGGTCTCGGCGGCCGCTCCCAGTCACCAGTCTAGCTGCCACATTCTGGATTAGTTGTAGTTTCCGGGTCACCTTCAAAGGTAGCCCCACAGAGATCGCATGGCAGTAGTCCAAGCGGGAGATAACTAGACAATACAAGAGTCGAAACACAGCTACCCTTGAAAATTGCACTACTATCCACATTTTGCAATATAGTTCTCCAGCCAAGTAACATATACAAAAAAGAAAGAAAAACATGCTGAGGACAATGTGTGCATGAAAATGCATACGCTAGTGTAAATAATATACACAAATCATTATGTTAAGGGAAATAGTTTTGCAAATAGGTGTATATTGGAAGGGACCCTGAGGATCATACAGTCCAACCCTGTGTAATGCAGAATATGCAACTCTCCCATACGGGGATTGAACCTGCAACCTTGGTGTTATCAGCCCCATGCTCTAGCCAACTGAGCCAGCCAGTCAACATGTGAACATCAGGTGAAATTCTCACTAAAATACTGATGAATTGTCATGAGGATTTTTTGGTGGAGGAGGAATTAGAAACCAGTGTTGAAAACGAACATAGGACTGGGGGGGGGGGGAATAAAACCAAGAAGCCAAAACTGACGGTTTCACCAATTTCTAGTGTCGCTGTATTCCTTTAATTACCATTGTGTGAGATGGAGAATGCGGACAACTCTGCCACTCCCGTTCACATCCCTGTCACCACCCCTGTTGTTGTTGTTTAGTTGTTTAGTCGTGTCCAACTCTTCGTGACCCCATGGACCAGAGCACGCCAGGCACTCCTATCTTCCACTGCCTCCCGCATTTTGGTCAAACTCATGCTGGTAGCTTCGAGAACACTGTCCAACCATCTCGTCCTCTGCCGTCCCCTTCTCCTTGTGCCCTCAATCTTTCCCAACATCTGGGTCTTTTCCAGGGAGTCTTCTCTTCTCATGAGGTGGCCAAAGTGCCACCGCCCCAGGTGCCTCCATATGATGGCCTTAGAGAAGTCATGTTTTCAGTCTTTATTCTGCAGCATAGAGGCAATAACACTGAGTTATCTCACATGGTGGCTCTAAGGATTGCAGTAATTTATATGTAGGGTGCTCTGAACTCTGTTGCCCTATTTATTATGAACGCATTTATTACATTTATAGACCAGCTGTATCTTCCAAGGAGCTCAAGGTAGTGCACACGGTTCTCCTCCTCCCCATTTCATCCTCACAAAGACCCTGTGAGGTAGGTTAGGCTAAGAGATGGTGACTGGTCCAAAGTGAGCTTCATGGCATAGTGTGGATTCAAACCCTGATCTCCCAGGTTATAGAATCATAGAATCATAGAATCATAGAATCATAGAGTTGGAATAGACCACAAGGGCCATCGAGTCCAACCCCCTGCCAAGCAGGAAACACCATCAGAGCACTCCTGACATATGGTTGTCAAGCCTCTGCTTAAAGACCTCCAAAGAAGGAGACTCCACCACACTCCTTGGCAGCAAATTCCACTGTCAAACAGCTCTTACTGTCAGGAAGTTCTTCCTAATGTTTAGGTGGAATCTTCTTTCTTGTAGTTTGGATCCATTGCTCCGTGTCCGCTTCTCTGGAGCAGCAGAAAACAACCTTTCTCCCTCCTCTATGTGACATCCTTTTATATATTTGAACATGGCTATCATATCAGCCCTTAACCTCCTCTTCTCCAGGCTAAACATGCCCAGCTCCCTTAGCTGTTCCTCATAAGGCATCATTTCCAGGCCTTTGACCATTTTGGTTGCCCTCCTCTGGACACGTTCCAGTTTGTCAGTGTCCTTCTTGAACTGTGGTGCCCAGAACTGGACACAATACTCCAGGTGAAGTCTGACCAACACTCTAACCATTGTGCCACACTGATTCTCTGTTATAATGCTAACTCTTATTGTTCTCTCCAGGATCACACAGTGATTTCCTGGCAGATGCAAAACTTGAACTCGGCTCTCATAGATTATGCACCACATGTACATTTTCACCTCCCCAAGAGCTTAAACTTTCCTCCTCCGTAAACACAATTTTGGCTCAGAAGGACAAAATCCCCGCTGCCAAAGGAATAGTTTTCACAAAGGGGTACGTCCCACACGCTAGTAGCTCTGCAATTGTCACCTGGAAACTGAAAGAAAACTTGACCGAAAATAGCTCATTGTGTCAATTGGGCACGCTAACTGTACACTCTCAAGCAATGCTTTTGTGGAGGGAATAGCGGGTAAGGCATAGCGGGTGGAATAGCGGGTAAGGCATAAGGCTAAGAAAATGCATAGGTGGCTATAATATTTAATAATAAAAAACCAACAATAACGACCCCTTTTGAGTTATAGACCAGAAATACAGTTCAGAATGTCTTAGGCCATAGAATGTTTTCTTTGGCTTGCGCCACTCAAAAGTTTAACCCATGCTGATATTTGTTCCACTTCTGTCTTCGAGATGCAAGTGGCCTATTGTCCCTCATTGTCAGACACCCACACCTTCCAGGCAGGGGTCTACCTGAGAGATGAGTGGGTGCAGAGCTCAGAGGCTGAGCTTAAACATGATGGCTGAGAGCAGCTATGATTTACATTCATTGTTATGGTTGCTATTGGCGCAGCGCAGATGAATGGCAGCTCCAAAGTTGCTCTCCATCACACACTTTTATTTCAAGGGTTTCGGAGCAAACATTTCTGACAACCCCGAGACTGTTTCCCCCTTTAAGAAATTCTCCCCTCGGTCCATTGAAATTTGCCATCTCCTAATTTTCGCAGCGGGCGGACGAGTGGGCAGGGATAATATTAATGAGCTATTGATTATGATCCACTTATAATCACTTGCCTGCCGTGCTCAAGCCAAGGGAGGTTTAATCAAGAGAAGCAACAAACCAATTTTCCTTATTAGCTTTGTGCCTCTCTCTCGCTCGCTCGCTCGCTCTCTCTCTCTGGTGGAGTGACTTGAACCCAGAGATTGCGCGGTAATAAAATGAGGGTATTAATTCAGTAATAGAAATGTACCATCACATGCAGAGTGCATTAGCCTAGAATATTTGCATTTGCGAGAAGACTTTATTTTAATGCAAAAGGCAGGGATTGAATTATGGTTCGTTCTGTTTACGAAACAAATGTAGTCTTCTGCTGCTTTTGCAGAAGTGGGCTGCTCTTTTGCTGATTTGGGATTTCAACACCTGTTTTTGGAGTTTTTCTGTAAGGTACATTAGCACACACCAAATGACAGAATATGCATATTTTAAATCGGGCCTTGGAGCCAAAAACTGGCTTCCAAGCCTCTGTAACTATCCTCTATGACTCCCCTTAGATTTTACCTCCTTCTCAGCTATACAGTACACCCCCTCTCTCCAGATCACCTTCTCACCATACTTTTTTTTACTGTTCTTGAGTGCTTTTGCCTGGCTAGAATGTGTCCTTGAAATGTGACAATACCTTGTGCTTGCCTAGATGGAGGGAACAGAGAAGTGTGTGGGTGAAGGCAGAAACCAGTCTACTGTACAAAGGCAAAATTTACATTCATTGTTTCACCCACCGATGACTCTCGCCCTACACTTGTGTGTCTAGTGGGCTTCCTACAAATATATGAAGACCCCCACACACCTGCTTCAATGATGCTATTGTTGGTTGTTTGAAAAAGCTCCATTGCTACATCATACTATGGTTTCGACATTCAATAACCAAATCAGGTGGTTGACGCCGTCAAAGTCCTATGGGAAGTCCAGCAGAGTGCAACAGAACTCTGTGATTCCCAGCAATTGTCATCCAAAGCCATACGGCCTCTGATAATGGAGACAGACCATAGCCGTTGCAGCGACCAGGCATTGATAGCCTTACCCTCCAAGAATTGGTCTAACCTCCTTTTAAAGCTGTCCAAGGTGGAGTCTATTGCTACACCTTGTAGAAAGTCTTCCGTAGCTTCACTGTAAAGAAGCACTTTGTTTTCTCAGTCCTGACTCTTCCATCATTTTACTTCACCAGATGAAGAAACATGGTGGCTATTTGAGACTTGGCACAGAAAGATGGATCAGCAAAGGTCTTCCAGGTACTCAACCATGGGAACACCTTACCGTAGAATCATAGAATCATAGAGTTGGAAGAGACCACAAGGGCCATTGAGTCCAACCCCCTGCCAAGCAGGAACACCATCAGAGCACTCCTGACATATGGTTGTCAAGCCTCTGCTTAAAGACCTCCAAAGAAGGAGACTCCACCACACTCCTTGGCAGCAAATTCCACTGTTGAACAGCTCTTACTGTCAGGAAGTTCTTCCTAATGTTTAGGTGGAATCTTCTTTCTTGTAGAGTTTCAGATTAAGTGAGTACTGGGAAGATGCTACTAGCACCCTTTCTCCATGCAATATGACTGCTTCTGCACACACACCCTTAAAAGTAAATAGGAGGTGCAGGAACTCTGGTCCTAAACCTCTGATGTCTAATGGCTATACAGTGGTACCTCTGGTTGCAAACGGGATCCGTTCTGGAAGGCCCGCTCGTAACATGAAAAGCCCGCAACCTGAAGTGCCATATCTGCGTAGGTGCATGGCACGATTTGGCGCTTGTGCGCATGCGCGAAGCGTGATTTAGTGCTTCTGCACATGCACGAGCAGCGAAACCCGGAAGTAACCATTTCTGGTACTTCCGGGTCACTGCAGGACAGAACCTGAAAAAACGTAACATGAAGCAAACGTAACATGAGGTATGACTGTACTCATGCGTGAGAAAGGCTTTGGGAGAAAGCTTCGAGGTACAATCCATAACTGCCACCTAGCAGGAGTAGAAAAAGCTAAGGAGACAGCCCTACCCAAATCCAGAGTGGAGTCTCTAAGATGGTTGGATGGCATCTTGCACGCCTTCTTCTGGCAAGTTTTGCAGCCAAGCTGGTGCCAGATGTATTGCTCTGCTTTTCTTTGGTCCATATCAGCAAGGCATTATTGCCTGGGCAGCCAGGGGCCTCCATACACATTGCCTAGGCTTGGGAGAGGGCAGGGAACTTGATCCTTTGCTTTCACCAGCCCAGAAACTGCTTTAAGGCTTCCATGGCTGCTGTTTGCATCAGAAGGAAAGCTCCCATGGGAAGGAAAGCTACTTCATACTGAAAAATAGATTATTTAATTGTTGATGGCTAGAAGTTGTGGTGGATGCAGGTGGTGCTGTGGGTTAAACCACAGAGCCTAGGACTTGCCGATCAGAAGGTCAGCAGTTTGAATCCCTGCGATGGGGTGAGCTCTCATTGTTCGGTCCCTGCTCCTGCCCACCTAGCAGTTCGAAAGCACGTCAAAGTGCAAGTAGATAAATAGGTACCACTCCGGCGGGAAGGTAAACGGCGTTTCCGTGCGCTGCTCTGGTTCGCCAGAAGCAGCTTAGTCATGCTGGCCACATGACCCGGAAGCTGCACGCCGGCTCCCTCGGCCAATAAAGCGAGATGAGCGCCGCAACCCCAGAGTCGGCCACGACTGGACCTAATGGTCAGGAGTCCCTT